ATCCATTACCACCTAGCTGTTCTCTGCCCCCCCTCTTTTTTTTTTTACCATATTTGTCACCAAATGATTTTTAGATATTTCCAAAAATCTAATCCATCCTCAAAGAACATCCTTCTGTCACCACAGAAGATATATTCATTCATTCATTCATTTATTCATCCATTGAGCAAACATGTATTTTGTGCCTACATGTGCAAGACCCCCTGAAGTCCCACTCTGGTACCTAGCTTCTCAAAGTCTATGCCAATGGGACACTAACTCTAGCAGATTTGTCCAGATTGTAAAGGCCATAGTATTGGTTCCAGCAACAAATTGTCTGTCTTTCAAAGACCACCATAGCTAAGTTCAGAAAGAGTTCATTACTAGGTTTTCCACAAGTCAGTGAGTTTTTTGTTTGTTTTTTTATACAAGATCTCTCAAAAACATTCATTGCAGGAGTTCTTATCTTGGGGACATTGACTTTTTAAAAATGTATTTCGATAACTGTGCTTTAGTCTAAGTGGTTTCCTTTTCAATCCTATGTATTTGGTTTTATTCATTTAAAAACATCACCTTCACCAGACTGCCAAAGGGATGACCCAAAAAGGGTAACAACCTCTGATCTATTGAGTCATAGAGGAAATGCAATCTGTTTTGGAATCAGAAAGGAGTCAGTTGGAAGATTATCTACAACAAAATAGTGATACTTGAATATAAACATAAGGCATAGGTATTTGGGGAATACAAAGAAAAATAAGATGCAGTGCCCTGCTTCCCCTAAAATTTACAATTTAATGGAGAAGATGTTAAGTAAGCAAATTATAAGCTAATGGCTATTAAGAAAAAAAAAACTCCAGAGAAAGTGCTTCGGAATTTCAGAGAAGAGAGAGATCTCTCCTATATGAGAGTATGGGAGAAGGCTTCAAGTGAGAGATAGCTAACTGAGCAGGGCCTTGAAATGTTGGAGGGAATAACATGAGCAAAGGCATGGAGGCAGAAAAGTAGAGTGTTTCCAGGAAATGTCCAAGGAGTCCAGTTTGCCTGGCGTATCTTGTGAGTGAATAAAGAACATTGTGCAATAATCTGGAGAGATGAATTCTTGATGACTTGGGTGCTTTGTAATGGAGTTTGGACTTTATTCTGTAGGTAATGTGGAGCCTTTACAAGTTTGATTTAGTATGGGAATTACACAATTAGGGTTAAAATTTGGAAATATCATGTTGACAATAGTATACTAAGGATTAGAGTGGGTGAGACTGAAAGCAAGTGCACTATTTGGGAGTCAGTAGTAATATTTTAATTGAAAGTGAATGATGGCCTGGCCTGTGCTGGTGGCAACAGGAATGGAAAGGAATGGTGGGATTAAAGAGCTACTAAGGAGGTCTGCAACAATGTGATGAATGAATCAATCAAACATTTATTAAGCATCTACTATGCATAAGGAACTGTGCTCAGCACAGGAATTACAAATACAAAAGCTAGACAGTCTGTGTCCTCAAGGAGCTAACAATCTATCATCAAAGTGGTCACAGACAAACAAATACTGGGTATATGTAAAATAAATAAAGATAATGGTCAGGGGAAAGATAACTACTTTATAAATTAGGGAAAGACTTCTTGATGGAGGTGGCATCTGAACTGAATTGTAAAAGGATCTAATGATTTCATGAGGAAGAGGCAAAAAGGGAGAGTATTTCAGGCATGAGGGACACCCTGTACAAAGGCAAAGGTGGTAGGAAGCCATTGAAGCTTCTTGAACAGAGGAGCAATAAAGTCAGACCTTTGCTTCAGAACTATTACTTTGGCAGCTGTGGGTAAATGTAGAGGAGGGGAGATTGAGTGCAGGAAGATCAATTGAGAACTTTGACAGTAGTCAAGGTGAGAGATGGAAAGGCCATGTGAGTGGAAAGGAGAGGATAACAGAGATGTCAAGGGAGTGGCATTGACAAAATTTGACAATATGTTCTATGTAGGGGGTGAGGAATAGGGAAGAGTCTGAGATGACTCTTAGTTTGCACACTTGGTTGACTGGAAGAATGGTGGTGCCCTGGACAGAAATAGAGGAGTTAAGAAGAGAGAGAGTGGAAGGAGAAACTATATGAGGTTTGTTTCAGGCGTGTTGAGTTTAACACAACTCTGGGACATCTGGGTAGCAATATGGGACTAGAGCTCAGAAGAGAGATGAGGGCTAGATATGTAGATTTGGGAGTCATTTGCATAGAGATGGTAATTGAACCCATAGGAAATGATGTGATTACTAAGAAAGGTAGTGTAGAAAGAGAGAAGAGGACTCAAGCTATGAATGCTCCAAATGAGCGGTTCCAAAACATCTGTGCAACAGCAGCATCACTGAAGTAAGTGTACAGCCTCCTAAGAGTACATCGATGAAGGAAAATACTGACTCATTTTTAGAAAAGAAAGACTTGAAAGTCAAGGGACTTGGGATCTTGTCCTTATACTGATTGATAGTCTCTAGTTGTATGACCTTGGGACAAGTCACTTGAGCTCAGTAGGCTTCCATTTTTTCATCAGTAAATTGATGGGATTGGACAAGATAATCTCTAAGGTCCTTTCTACCTTTAACATCCTATGGCATTACAACCTTATGGTCATGTTCTGTATATTAAATATTTTACAGGAGATGGCTTAACCTCTCTCAGCCTCTTGCTTTCTCATTTGTAAAGTGATTGGATCAGGAAAGAGGGTTTCTTTTCTTCTCTTCCAGCTCTAAATCCTGGCATCCCGATGGATGCTGTGTGCACCACAAAACCTTATTGATCTTAGAGATTACCTTTCTAAAACTGGGTGTGAAAGGAAGCATAAAATGTTAGAGGCAGATCGTGATTTGTCAGCATAGCATCTACTGGCTGCACCTCTTGGAAATACAACCCACTTATTACAAGGTGGAAGCACTAATGTCAAAGAGCCGGAAGACATTTCCACAAGGAATGGATCAAGTTGTTTTCATTCAGTAAAGTGATAGTCAGTGGGACTCAGACACTGCTATCCTTTCTGCCTAGAGGTGTGACAGCAAAAGGCAAATATGTCCTCCTGTTTCTGCAAAAATAGCACAAGCTATTGGTGAGGCAGCTGTACAGAAGCTATAGAGCTGAAGTATCTGCTTTTGCCTCTTTATTTTTACATTCTTTATGGTAATGGAATTGTCACATGCGATTTGTTCCCCTAATCCTGAATTTCAAAAGAGCAAGATTAACTACCAGAGTTGGAATTTTTTACATAGCGACAAAGGGAAAATAATATCTCATTTTTTTTCTTCTCTTAGAACTTCCCTGTTCCACCCTGAGCTTTGTTGTTGTCCTGTCATTTCAGTCATTTCTGACTCTTTGTGACCCCATTTAGGGTTTTCTTAGCAAAGTTACTGGAGTCATTTACCATTTCCTACTCCAGATCATTTTACAGATGAGGAAACGGAGGCAAACAGGGATAAGTGACTTGCCCAGAATCACACAGCTAGTAAGTGTCTGAGGCCGTATTTGAAGTCAGGTCTTCCTGACTCCAGGTCTGCACTCTGGCTACTGCATCACCTACCCCTTAGCTTGGGGACACCTAATGAGCATGTTTGGAAGAAATCATGCCAGAGTAATTATTGTCTATGCATTTTTTGATCTGTGTTCTTTTTAAGACCCACTGCTAAGTTCCTTAGACACAGGTGTCTCTCAGAAATCTCGTTTCCTACTGTCTCTTTGTGCATTTGGAGTAATAATAATAATAATGATAAATAATAGCATATGTAACATATGACAGTAGTAACTTGTGGTTATACAGCACTTTCAGGTTTGCAAAGGACTTCAATAATAATATCTCATTTTATCCTCAAAATGACCCTGGGAGCTTGATATTCTTATTACTCCCACTTTATAGATAAGGAATCTGAGGCAAAAGAGATGAAAGTATTTTGCCCAGGGTCACAGGGCTGTAAGTGTCTGAGGCCAGATCTGAACTCAAGTCTTACTGACTCCCGTTCTCTCTCCACAGACCTACCTTCTCGCCTAGTTTTAGCAGTGAAGCACAAGTGTGACTACTGATAATTCTTGTAGACATCTGTAACTGTCTGAAGTTAAGAGATGTCCCACAGATCCAACAGAAATCCGCTGGATTAGGAATATTTTGATTTGGGAGAAACAGTTATGAATTTTAGTATAAAGCAGCTTGAGGAGGATGGATAATGAGTGAATTAAAATTCTTCCTAGCTTGGCCTCGATGCTGACTGTCATTTAATGGAATGCTTCACTTCATCATCCTTGTTGTAGTAAAGATATCTTACAGATTCATTCAACCCAGCCTTACAAACATTTACTAAGCACCTTCTATGGATGAGCACTGTCCTAGGTTCTGGGAGTACAAAGACAAAAATGAGGACAGATATTATTTCAATGAGTTTACTTTCTACTGAGTGATATAGCATGTATAAAAAGAAGAACGGTAATCAGAAAATTGAAGACAGAGAACAGGAATAAATGAGGGAATTCTTCACAAAGGAGGTGGCATCAGAGTTGAGAGTCTTAAAGGACAGGCATTTTAAGCACATAGAATGGCTTGGGTAATGTACAAATGTGGAAGATTACATGTAAAGACAATTTTTAATGCCCGTTTTTAATAAAATGTTGAGTTCCAAATTTCTCAGTCCCCATTCCTCTCCCTGAGACAATGGGTTATATATGTGCAGTCATGTAAAACAGAAAATATAAAGATTTAAACACTCTGCATTAGAGAGGTCTAAATATAATGTGGAGAAAGCAGTATCTGGGAGAGTAAGGTACCAGATCTGGGTGCTAATTCTGACAGTGAGTTTTTCCTTACCCTTTGAGACTCATCACTCTATATTCTAATCTATATCACTGGGGTATTAAATTGAGGAGTCAAGAAATTATATTGACATGGATTCTTGAGACCCCCAGGGAAAGATAATATATATAGTAATAAATCAGGATGGGGGGGATTTTTAGGACAATTATTCACGTGTCACCATTTTTTTATTTCTCCCCTTTGTTCTCCTTCAGCCCAAGCTTTTGGCCAAGGAACTGCTTGATCTAGTGGCATCTCACTTCAATCTGAAGGAAAAGGAATACTTTGGAATAGCGTTCACAGATGAGACGTAAGTGCCATGAAGCAACATCTAACATCATAAATGATGATATAACAGTTCTAAGATAGCCCTCTCCAGCCTATCAGAAGTTGACATGAATCATTTGTAGCCAATAGGGCTGGATTGCTCCTGCTTTGCATCCCAATATTAAAAATCATGGTTAGAATTGAGCACAGCTAGTATAACCAAAGGATTCAATCTGGGCAATAATAGTTTATTTTTTCAATGGATTTTTGATCTCCTTTCTGTGCCAATATGATGCTCATGTCAGTAACTAGTGGTTACTATATTAGTGATTTTTTTAAAATAAACTAGCTATTTCTGAAAAGACATCCATGGCCAAGTACATTAAGTTTAGATTTGAAATGGCTGTTGAAATTAGGTTTAAACAAACTGTGTGGGCTTGTTTTTAAAGTTTTATTCTTAAAAGTTTTTTCGGAAATTAGATATTTCCTTGGATGTTGAAGTAATATTGAGGCCAGGAAGCAACACTGATGATAAATGGAAAATGAAAACAATCTATCTAAACTCAATTACAGCATATAAGAAATAAAAACATACGTTATCCTATGCAGAGAACTTTGGGTTTTTTAAGGTCTTTTCACTTCTCTCCCCTGAAATTGTGTTTAGCAACACAGACGTTCCTTTAAATAATATTGTGGCTTTCTTCTAAATATATTGGCATATGATAAATCAATTTAAATTTGAAAAATTTCCTCATAGGCACCCAAGTGAAAGATTTGGGTTTTTTCCCCCTTAAGTTAAATATCTTCATGTTTCATTTCTGTGTTCAAAAAATCTTAAGAGCTTGAACAAAATTTCTGAATATGAATACTTCCAGTCTTTGCTTCTGTGTACGTCTCCCTGACATACATCTAGAGTAATTGCTTCTAAATATTTTCTTCCCTTTCTTTTGAAAAATAAATGGAAGGCCTATGGTGTAGGCTACTTTTCCATTGTACCTCTTTTTTTTTAAATTAGAAAACATTCCAACTAATTATTCTCCTATTGTTCATATTTTTTAAGTGAGCTTTACTCTTCAAAAAAAGCCTTTGTACTACAGTTCAATAACAATTTAACTTCCTTTCTGAGAAAATAAGAATAAAAGAATTGGAGTGGCAATCTTGGCCCCAAAAAAGAAAAAAATAACTATGGTACATGTTGAATGTACCTGCCAGTCTGGTCAAAAGGAAGAGTTGTAAGGAGCTCTTTTTAAGGGAAAAAAGTATTATAAGACATTATAGACTGCAGGAAGAAGGAACAAATAGTGAGGTTCATACTCTTACAGATCAAGAACAAGGATCTGAAAATTGTGTAACCTTTGGCTCCTGACCAGTGGAAACTTTGAAACTTTATAACACATATGATTTAATACATCACTAAATAAATATCTATATGCCATACAAAGTAGGATTTTCTGGCATTAAAAATATATGCATTCATAAAAGTAATATTTGTAGCCTTCATTCTCTCCCATCTCATGGCCTGGAAACAGAGTAACTCGGATCCTTAAGAGAAAAATGATTTGGGGTAAATTTGCTCATTAAGCATGACAGAGTACCCAAGACAATGTCCGTGGAATGGTGGTGTTCCCTTAGATTCTGTCCCTGGTTTTACCTACTTTTTTAAATGTTCTGTTATGTTTAAGAATATTCAGTTAGTAATATAATTGTAAAATAATGTGATATGACAGTGGCCTGTTTATATTTACACACGTGCATATTGTCTTCCTTCTTAGAAAGTGAGCTCTTTGAGGACAGGTATCGTTTCACTTTTGTTTTTCTTTCCCCAGCACTTAATATGGTGCCTAGCACATAGCAGGTACTTAATGAATGCTAAATGACTAATATTCCTCAGAAGTATTTATTATATGCCAGTACTATTAAGGTATGCTTCATCGTATTCCCCTTTCCCAACTCTGTATTGTTCCCTGTTTTACATAATCCTAGTTCTGGCCCTCTTCTTTCATAGTGTCCCATTACTGGCACATAGTAAGTAGTTATTGAATGCTTTATTTATCTATCTAACCCATTAAGGATAGAAGCTAATATTCCTTATTCTTGTCAAACTTTGGCTTCACATGTGTTTTAGATTGTGTGTGCATGTGTATAGGGGTCAAGGGTGAATACACAAGACACTCTCTCTCTAGTTTTGATCCTCTACTTACCCATGTGACTACTTCTCAGTCTCCTTTTCTAGTTCATCATCCATGTCGTACCCTCAAAGCCTAACTTCCTTCAGAGGACTCTGTCCTGAGCCACCTTCTCTTTGACCTCTTTATTATCTTGTTTAGTGATCTCATCACTTCCACTGATTATCATCATTAATAATAATAATAATGATAGCAGTAGCAATATATTAATAAATATATAAACATATTAATAGTAATACAATAAAGCTTTATTTAGGGTTTTAAGGTTTGCAAAATGCTTTACACATATTACCTTATTTAATCTAACTGGTCCCCCTGCCTCATGGTTCTTTCCACTCCAATCCATTCTCCATGCCACCAAAGTGATTTTTCTAAAATGTGGATCTGACAGCATCACTTTGCTGCTTAAAGAGCTCTAGTGATTTCCTATTTCATCTAGAATCAAAGATAAGCTACTCTTTTTAGCATTCAAAGCTCATTATAACCTGACCTCTTCCTACATTTCCAGTCTCCCTGTACCTTACTCTTCCCTGTTGATTAAGATATGGCTGCACTGGCCAGTGTTCCTCAAACGTGATATTCCATCTCTTGGTTCTGTTCCTTTGCACTTGCTGCACCTCATGCTTCACACAATGCCTGGCACATAATGAGCACTTAAGAAATTTTATTGTTTGATTTATTATTGATATGATTGATATCATTTATTAAGATATTTATATATTGCTATTTATTAATTGATCAAATGCTCTTCCCCCTTGCCTCCCTCTCTCAGTGTCCTTGTTTTTCTTCAAGAGTTATCTCAAATCCCAGCTTTGAAGGGCCCTTTCCCATGCCCTCTAGCTTCTAATATCTTTTCCTTTCGGATTACTTTGATGTACTCTTTACATGTCATACGTGTACTTAGATATTTGCATGTTTTTGCCACTATTAGAATGTATCTTCCTTAAGAGCAGAGATTGTTTTTTTTTTCCTTTCTTTTTATCTTTGGTGCTTAGCACAGTGCTTTGAACATAGTAAGCACTTAATAAATGCTTGTTGACTGACTGACTGACTTTCAGTAAATCAGTAGCTGCCCCCGGAGAACCTGTGGGAGGCAGCGACAGAGAGATCATAAACCATCCAACTGGCACCTTCCAGGGAAAGTGTCTGCTGAGCTCACTGGAGACTATGTGAGAGGTTTCCCCAGAAAGCAGCAATGGCAGACAGCCAGGAGGCAGCCAGGAGGACAAAGCAGATGATAAAGAAGGTGCTGTTCAAAAATAGTTACTGAATAAGAACAAGCAGGTGCACCTGACTCACCCCTGGGAAACACAGTTTCAGGCACCCAGAGAGAAACGGGGGGCAAGGGAGGATGAAAGGAGACAGGCAGCTAAACAGGGAGAGTTGTTGGTGTAAAAGAAGATCAGCTAGGGACAAAAACAAGGTTGGACTACTGTAGAGAGCCAGTGGGCATTTGCCCTCTGGATAGCCTTGTGATTAAGCTGAGCTCTTAGTTTTTCTACTTTCTAAATGAGAAATTTTGCTTTAGGGGTCTGGCTATTGTTAGATTTTACCCAGTCTTCTTTGTGGATATCACTGACCACCCTTCTATAGCTGGTCTCAGCTGCCTTCTCTGACTGGGTTTTTGTTACCACTGTAGCAAAGTCCCTTGACTGTATCATACTTTCTAGGTAATTGAAATGTGAGCCTTTAAATGAAATAAATAAAATATACATACATATATATATATGTGTGTGTGTGTGTATATGCCCAGACAGGCTATGTGTGTGTGTTTGTGTAAGTACTATATGCTTAGGAAAATATTTATTGCAACACATGTTTTGCCATTGGAATAAGGCTATGTCCAGCCTTCCTTTCTCTTCATACTCTTTGCATCAGGAGTTTTAACCTGAGGTCCATGGGCCCCAAAGTGTTAGGGTCTTTGAATAGATTTTAGCAGGTCTGTAAACTTGGATAGGAATGGAATTACACATTTGTTTTCACTGACCTATAGCTGAAATTTAACATTTCCCTCACATATGAATTTAAAAATATATTCGGAGAAAGTGTTCATAGGTTTCACCAAACTATCACAAGAGTCGATGACAAAAAAATTTCTTAAGGACCCTACTTTCCGTCCTATGTTGTCATAATACATTAGGTCTGCACACTTCTTTAAGTGATTTTTAGATTTTCTTTCAGTGTTAATGAAGGATTTTCTGGGTTTGAGAGAGTAGAGACAAAAGGTGTGTAAAGTATTTCTTTAACACTTCCGTGTATCTGTAAATTCTTTTTTTTTTTACAAGAATTAATCTGTAAATTCTTGGGTGCCGGTGAACCCACCACTTCGGTTAGACAGCAATCTAAGTGTATGCCTTCTCATCCTGTGCAATTCTTGTCCATGTTTTCAGATCCATCCTCTTTGGAGAAGTGGAGCAAATCTATCCCTAATCCACAACAATAGTATGCTGGAGGTCTGCATTTTTACATTTGGGGGTACCAGTTTAACACTTAGGCTGCCCACGTATTAGCCCCTCACTCTTACCACATGATTGGCTCACCTCTTTTCCCAGGCATATAGTTCCTCAGTGATATCCATCATGCTACTTATTGCATGTAAGTCATTAATAATAATAATAATAATAACAATACTATAGTGGTGATGATGGTAGTAGTAATAGTAGTAGTAGTAGCAGCTAACTTTTTTTAGTGCTTTAAGGTTTTCAGAATGCTTTGAATATATTATCTCATTCAGTCATCACAATAACCCTGTGAAGTAAGAATTATTATTATCCCCATTTTATAGATGAGGAAGCCAGGGCAGAGACTTTCAGTGATTTATCCAGTGTCACACAGCTAGTAAATGTCAGGGGTGAGA